ACCCTAATATTAAACATTATCAAAGAAAAGAGCATTGTAAAATACTGTACTTATGAGACCTTTATTTATTGGGGGAAAATTATGCCTAGATAGCGAAATAAAACCAAAAGTTCCGAACCAAACTCTACCAGGCAGTTTGGAACTACAAAAAATTAATCCCCAATTCAGTAGTAACCTTTGGAAACAATAAATTTAGGTCAGTTTTGGAAAAGGCAACCCTAGAATAATAAAAGAAGACGTAGCAAAAATATGACAGTTAGGATATATGTAGATAGGTTTCAAAAGTCGATGTAATTTCTATCAAGCTATCTTATTGGATTATTTTGCAAAAAATTTAGAATATGATCATTATTTTTAGGTTTATATTAACTTTACTTAATTGTGTGGCATTCTGTATAGCCTTTTTGTGAATATAAAATACCTAAATCAAATGTATTTCCTCTGAGGCATGTATAAAGTAATCTATACGTTTAGAATGGTTGTTTTATTTGCAGATTCTATACAGCGTGTTTCACATGTAACACAGTGATTTAGCTGTCCCCTCTAGCAAACATAAATTAGCTTTTCACGTGCTTTTATATAATTTTTTTTTTGAGAAAATGTAATAGCAGTCTTGAATTTTTAACATCAATTGCCTGTTAGAATTTAGATTGAATTATTTTATAAATACGTTTTGTATTACAGGAACTTAAGTAATTTATTAATTTCATAGTAAATTGCGTTAATACTCGTGAGATGTAACGTTGAATCGAAGCAGACATTCTTAAAGAGTTGGATATTTGAAAAATGTCTTGGTAATAGAGATGTAGTGCAGTTAACAACCGCCATAACTGGTAATTAGTGTTAAAGAGGAGAAGTAACAAGCGTTAAGTTGTAAAATATTAATTTAAATGAATTCGTTGGAAGATGTCTAACATAAACCGTCTAGATATGTAGTTACGTTTAGAGGAATATTTAGTTTGCTGTTATCTATCGTATGAGCAGCTGTTCACAAATTTCTGATTCGTACTGTTCAAATAGCTAGTTATTAATAATTGTTATCAAACGAAGGCTGTTTCTCAGGAAGTGTGCTATTTATTTGAGTTGCCACAATCGAAAGATAAAGCTTTCTATAATATGTACACGCAAATCTCTATTCCACTCCAAAATACGTTCGTTTGAACTATGTTTTTTTCCTTTTTCTAAAAATAACCCATTTGTTTTAATTATTGAGCCAGCCGATAATGATTTCCGTCTGCTCGAATTGATATCCATATATTTATGTTTACAATTAAATGATATAGAAATATACCAGAAGAGACGATGCTGCTGCGGCGCAGAAATGTATCGTGTTTAGTTTTTGTTTGGATTTTTGCACGACCTAGATCTGCAAGTCGATAAGAAGGTCGGAGGCTACAAAAACAAAATAAAAGAAGAGTATTCCTTGGCTCGGCCGCACTGAGTCGCCATTATGGATTTACACGGGGTTATTGTAGTTTGCGAAGAATATTAAGAGGTGATTTTTTCATCCCGAGGCAGTTGCTGCGGACAGAATCTTTGTTATGCAAAACTTGTGGTTTTTAGGGATTCATTTCCTATTGAAAAGATACCGAGAGTCCATTGATGAAACATTTTCTTATGGGAACTTCCTTGCAGAGGTCAGAAAGAACCCTAATAATCAATATTTACTAAAAATAGAATTATATTTCCTGAAATTATATAACTGACCTAAAAAACTCGTTTTATTTAATCATATTTTTTAAACTATAATAATTTATATAATATTAACCCTGGTTTCTGCCTTAAATAAAATAATGATGTACAGTTTTTTTTCAGAGTTATTTAGAGCCTTAATACCTTAATAGTCTTTTAAAGAGACATGAATTATCCATTGACATCGCAATAATATACTGAGTGTTCCATTTAAAATAAACTTGTAAATTGCTTTTAAATGTGACCAAGAATTAATTTTCTCCCACCCTGTATTACTTTTCGGGTCAAGTTTTATTTTGATTTAAATACAATGATTATTTTAACTACAAATTAGTAGATACCGAGTAAACTTCAATTGAGGCATCTTTTATTAAAATTTAAATTTTATTCTTCATTACATTACAAAAAACACAACTTCGATATATAACCTTTTTTTCGAAGACACCGTGTAGAACTATATAGGGTGTCCCAGAAATAAGTGCAAGTATTTTTAAGGTGTGGCAGATCTCGATAAAAGAAACATATTTTCTCTTTATCGTTTTTCAGATAAGTCCAAAACAACGAAGTTATTTTACTTTCAAATTTTCCAAAAAAAAAATATTTTTTGCTAAAATTTTGAGAACCACTGGATCTTTTCTAGATTTTCTTTCTTGTAAATCTAATCTAATACCTATGTTGCCATATTATCAAGAAATTATGTTTTTTAACTAAAATCTAAAAAAAAATTCCAAAAATTTTTTCAAAAAATTTCGAAATTTTCAGATTTTTTTTTCTCGAAAAAAACCTTATAGGCGTGTTTCTGGGGTTGAACTATACTACCGGTTAAAATACTTGCACTTATTTCTGGGACACCCTGTAAATATTTTTATTAAATGCTGTGTATTGACCCTGTATTATAAATAATTTCCGGAAAGTGCATCATTTTTGACGATAACTGTTTTTTTATGAATCTATGCAGACAGACCATAGAATTAAAAAAAAATGGCGTCAGAGATGGCGTGGAAATGATCATTGCTGTCATTTATTTATATGTAAATTTACATGGGAAATATAATCGATCGTCATTTCGAAGCTAACTGGACGTTGTTTTTTTTTATTATACGGTAGTTGTACCAAGTTGTGCCGATAACCCCTGAAAACGCTTTGAAGATCCATCTCAAACCGCTTCTGTTTTTTCTAGTTTCCCTCTCGTCACCTAGGGGACATTGCCCGTAAATTTTACACTTTCCCATATGTAAAAGCACATATGGGTAGAGATCGGTATTACGCATCGATATCTTAAACATTTCGATTTGGTTTGAACGAAGAAAGAATTACATTTTGGAACATTTGTCATAAGAAATGAAAGAATTACATTTTGGAACTTTTGTCAATTTAGGTGCAATTATGTTAGAGGAGGCAATTTTTTATTTGTTAAGCGATTACCCATATTCACTTTGTCTTAAGATTTATTAATTTTATTGTTGACATCCTTGTGGACATGGACTTTTGTAATATCAACGGAAATATTTACTTTTGAAAAACAATTTTGCATATAAGTACATAGAAACTTCAAAACTATATTTATTTTTTTATAGACTTTAATCCAGATTGCATAATACTGAATTTGTTGAAAATTACATAACGCTGTTCAATGCTTTATAAAAGAGTAGGTAACGTAAATAAAATTCTTGTTTTATACTTGTGGCAGAGAATCTGATATATTTCTGACGTCACGATAGTAGACGGACTTGTGGTATTTGGTATTGCATATGTTTTTTTGTATAAATAATAGCATTTGTGGATAGTTTTGCCATATATAAAGATAAAAATCACAAACAAAACTATTAATAAGAAACATTTACTTTTAATCGCGTTAAATTGATTGAATAGGATTAAAATTTGAACTTAAAGCATGAATATTACTATAAAATGTATTGGCAGCACTAGATAAATAGAATAAAATCCAAACAATACGGACCATGTCCCAAATTTGCATTAGATATTACTAGTTTCTTGAAAAGAATCCTGAGTTTTCTGGAAGAGAAATCCTGAGAGAACTAGAAGAAAATCTACAAAATAAAAAGATATTTTTTGGAAACACTACTGCTTTGGTCCAACGAAGACCAATTTGTCAGTGGTATTATACTAGTAAAACAAATTTGCTTAACGCACAAAAAAGGCTTAACGTTTCAGGAGGTATATCTGCTCCATTCGTCAAAACCAAAAACTATTTAAGAATACTTTAGCTGACACACGTCTATTATAAACCGTTGACGTTCTGTTAAAATGATATTATATGAAGTCAGGGTACCTACATAGTGAGGCATCTCGATGCACGCCGCGATGCATCCTACGCGCACTTACTCGCTGTTTTAAAACAGTGCTTAAAACGTGCACATAGGATGCATCGCATCGAGATGCCTCACTATGTTTGCACCCTAAGAATCTAACGATAATTACTGCCTGATAAATATTACTTTATTGTTTAATAATATTTGCATTGTTAAATGCTACTTTGTGCCTGTGTCTCATGAATGCTGACAAATATTAGATTTGCAAAAATTGCCCGTTTTTAACTGTCTAGATGTTTCACTAATATAAAATTTATCACATTCACATGGTATTTTGTATATCATATTTTTTGTTTGTTGTTCAGTGTTCATTGGTTTAGTGTGGGTTAAAATGGATCTAAGTGTATTTTATATTTTAAACTAGATATTTAGCAACTAGTAATATCTTGTGATTAAGGGATGATTCGCAATATTATAAAAAATGGGGTTCGAAAACCATACCCCATTATTGATAAGTTTAGAAGATGTTATATAAACAATGTCAGTTTGCATGACTATATGTTGGCTATATTTTTACCTATTTTTAGGGAACTAGACAAAAGTAGATGTAGTACAACATTTTTGAACATTTAGGGGTTTGGTTTGGATATTTTCTAATCTGTGATTTTAATGGACAATATGTTATGTACAATACAATGCTAAATTTTCGGCGCGTTAATATTTTGGAGCAGCATATTTCCGAAATATGATGACGTTTGTTTTTAATTATAATCAGGGGCGCAACTACACATAGACTCTTAGGGGGGCTAAATTCTTTTGGGGGGGCTTAGGTCACTATAAGATAATATAGCTGTGAGGATAAAACCAATTTTATAAAAGAAAGATATATATACCTATTATATCGATACATTTTCACATACGGCCCTCCCTACGTGTGGGGCTGATTTTGGCGCCCTAAAACTCTCACCGTATGCGCTTAGGGTGCACGTATGCCCCCACTATTCCTAACTGTAGTGTGGGGAGAGCATAAAGACAGTTGTCTGCGTCTCCCGCAATATCAGTCTCGTGTAAAAAGCCGAACGGTGTTTGTGCTCTCATACGTCGGACCACTGTTTGATGATGCATGTTTAAAGACTCTTGTTTTTTAATTAATCACACGATTCTCGCGATCTCGTCGTGTTTGGATTATCCCGTGCAGGATGTGGGACACTGTTAGCGCAGATCCCTGCCAAATGTGCGCCAGGTAATTATTCTGACTCTAGCACTAATCATAGATGACCGTTAGTCGTTACAATTTAGATAGTGAAAGTTAACGTCATTTTCACTTCGCTGCCGGTCTGTCTATTTAAATTGTTAAAGGGAATTAAATGGCTTTGTTTTTGTTTTTAACAGATTATGCAGCGATTATTTTTTTTTTTCAAAAATGTCGTAAAAGTACTGGATGACATTATAATTCTTAGACATCCTATAACTAGACCTGTTTTTAATTCAAATGATTTAGGTGGTTTTATTCTAATAAAAGTCAGATTAATTTAATCATTTGTAGAACCTGAATCATTTGAAGGAAAAATAAGCAAGTGTATTTTTTTATTTACGATTTTTTTATTCATTTGTTAGTGAGGGTCATATGTCTTTGAATTTACAGAAAGAAAAGAGCTATGAACGACACGGAAGATATTTCGTTATACGAAGGCACAGCCCCTTTACCAGTAACATGTACGACTGATTCTTCTCCCGGCTGTCCTTCCAGGAGATTGCTGGAAGACATCGATTCCAACTCTCACGATTCTGGCTACGGAGCGAGTTACCAAGGCGATAATGGGAAATTCCCTGTCTATATCTCCCCCAACCGGGGCTTATCCATGTCTTTCGAATCTGGGTCGATCGAAGACGACTTCATGGAGGATTTTTCCGACGTGGAACCCTTGGATAAGCATCCCACTTTACCGAGCCATTTCAATAAGCTGATCAACGAGCCTTTAGAGATACGATCCAAAGGCAGAAATAGGCATTCCCCCAAAGACATGCCAATGAGGCCAGTGTTTCGTCGGGCATTTTCCCTGCAAAATCCCAGACAGACCACCACCCCGAACAGCAGCAGGGTTAGGACGAATCTATTTAATCAGAATGAGGCAGAAGATAAGGAGAATCGGTCTTTTAAACGGCCAGAGTCGCCCAATGCTTTGGACAATGTTCTCATCAAAAGATCAAAGCTGTTTCTCGAAAATTCCCAAAAATCACCACCAGCAAGGCCAGTTTTAAAACGCCCTCTGTCAGCAACCGAGGAAAGTATTATGTGCGCGGTTCAAAGGTCGTCCACGGAGGCGGACTTGATTGGGGACTTCAGCAAAAGCTATTGCCTTCCATTGACCAATGGCAAACACCAAGATCTGAAGGCAATCACTCCAGAAACCTTGGCCAAGCTGATGAAAGGCGAATTTTCGAGTACGGTCGAGTCGTTTAAGGTCATCGATTGTCGATATCCGTACGAGTTCATTGGGGGACATATCGACGGGGCTGTAAATATTTACACTAAAGAACAAATCAGCGAATTGCTTCATGAAAATCATCTCCCCATAACCAGCCCGTACAAGAGGCACGTTCTCGTCTTCCACTGCGAGTTCTCCAGCGAACGGGGTCCAAACCTGTAAGTCTTTTTCCAGTTGACTTCAGACCTTTTTACTTATTTCTACTTTGTTTTACTCCAGATATCGCCACTTGCGTAAGGAAGATCGGGAAAGGAACATGGACACTTACCCTTCCCTGCATTATCCAGAGATTTACCTTCTGGAAGGAGGTTACAAGAACTTCTTCAATCAATATTCGGAGATGTGCGTGCCAGTAGCCTACAAAGAGATGTTGCATCCCGATCACAAAGAAGACTTGCGCTATTTTCGACAAAAATCTAAGACCTGGAACGCTGACAGTCGCCATAGACCAACCAGAAGTCTGAAAAGATTGTAAACACATTTTTTCTTTCTTTGACGCCCGTTATAGTACAAAATAACTCTTGTTTTTTAGTTCAACTAGTTTTGGGTACCTTTATTTTGCATTACATAATGTTTTCTTTTTTTTGTTTAACGTTTGATATGAAAGATTTGTGGATTATTTTATTTGTATCATATTGATATATGCATTTAAGTCCTTCTCAAATATTTATATGGTTTATTAATTATTTTGTAGCTTTGCTCGTTCATAAAATGAAAGGGCCCGGCCTTTACGCAATGCTACACACCAAAGTTTCTTTTAATATTTTATATAAGTTGACCTAAACATGCGTTTTTCTAACGTGTGTGAAAATGTTTATTTTTTCGTTTATGTGCAATTTTTTTAAGCAATAATGAATGTGATTTTCGTTTTCTTTTACCAAATGTCATTGAAAGACGACTCTCGTTCTCTCAGTGGTCGAAGTTGGTGTAGAATCCATATTTATTTTCAAAATGATTTTAGACTAGTTATAATTTCAGTATTCTCTTAGCATATATTTATATACATAGTGTGTTCTAAAACAAAATTCACAGGGCGATCTAGAATGATTCATAACCAAATTTTGTGACTCGTTTCACTGAATAGACTGAATATTATAAGCAAAAAACCGCCTTCGATGAATTTTGTTCATACAATTCTAAACGGAGTGATATAATTTTAGTAATAGAGCGTTATGTTAATTTATAAATAAAAAATATTATATTATTTAATTATATCTGACGAGTTTTATTTAATAAGTTTTATTGCCAAAATAAATAGCGAATTAAGGTCTTTTTTCACATAATGGTAATAGATTAGCACAGTACAACTTGTGCCGACTACCTGGGTACCTGAGGGTGTCTGTGTGGTACCTGTTGGGTCCACTCAATAATATTTATCCCTACACCTACCCAAAAGCCTATTGATACCTTTTATTTCTTTTGTACTACTTTAAGGTAAACAAGCCCCATAAGGTGCATCTATTTTACTAAATACGTTTGACTTTCTATAAGACATTCAGTCACATATGCACTGAGATACATTGATTTCTAATAACAAATACAAAAGGTATAACATAAATATTTCCTATTATACATACCTACTCTATTTTTTATTTTTCTATTTTATTGTATTTGGTATTTATTATTTTATTATGCCTTTTATTATTTATTTTTTTATTTATTTCGAACCTCACTTTATAGATACTTATATATTTTAATAATACTGTTAATATGTTATATTTTTATAACACTGTTGTGAAAAAATTATATCAGACAACAGAAAAACGAAAATGGAAGTAAATTTCATATTTCTAGCTTATGAAGTTAAAATGCAATTAAAAGTAATTATTGGCATTTACTTAATATGTTTTATTATTATTAAAACAAATGATAGGATAAAATGTATTTGTGCGTAATGAATGAGGATTTAAAAAAGTACATTAGGGTTTGCTGAGAAAGATCAAAGTAGATTTTTAAGCTATGAAATGCAACCGAAAGGAATACCTATAATTTGAAAGGAGTTATTAAGATGACGCTCTGCACATAAATATTATATAGCCAGATTTTATGATAATTGCACATATTTTCTAAAGAGACTGTTTTGTTTACTTATTTACTTCATTATCTTTCATCTATTGTTAATAACTGTCCTCTATAATAGAAAAACAAATAAATATTTAGAAAAACGTTTAAAATAAAAACCTGTTTAGTGATATAAGAAATATATATTTTTTAACCGATAAATTAAATATATTTATATTTAATATATCGGTTAAATATAATAATAAATATATTAAATATATTTATATTTAGTTTTTCGGAATTACGGGCAAGTGAGCTCTGAAATCCCGACAATGTTCGGACTTTGTCGAAAAATAAATAAATAATAATTATTAAGTTTCAAAGATTATGGTTTTGTAATAAAAATTATATGAGAAATTCATATTTATGTCATACTTATTTGTTTTAATTTTCTTAATATTATTTTTATTTTATATAATTTTGATGTTACATTACTAAATATTAACATTGATATTCGCATAAATTTAATAATATATATATAAGAAGTAAAAAATATTTATTTTAAAAGAAGTATACAGGGTGAGTCTTATATAAGTGTAAATATTTTAAAGGGCTGGTAGATCTCGATAAAATAAACATATTTTCTCTTTACCGTTTTTCAAATAAGTCTAAAATATGTGAGCTATTTTATTTTGAAAATTTTCAAAAAAAAAATTCTTTGTTTAAATTTTGAGAACCACTGAATCTTTTCTGGGTTTTCCTCCTTGTAAATTTAATTTACTACCTATGTTGACATGTATGTATTATCAAGAAATTATGTTTTTTTAACTAAAAACTAAACAAAAATTCAATTTTTTTTCAAAATATTCAAAATTTTCATTTTTTTGGGGGGGGGGGGAAAACCTCCTCATAGACATGTTTCTAGGGTCGAAATATACTTCCCCTAAAATTATTTGCAGTTATTTAAGACTCACCCTGTATAAATACCTAAATAAAAAAAAATAATATTCTATATTTTAGTAGTTGAAACAAACGTAATAGAAACTAAGAAGTTTTTTAACTTGTGTGTAAATAAAAGAGTTTCCACAAAAGTGTTTATTTTCTATTTATGTAGAAAAATATTTTTCTTTATTTAATTAGAAAAATGGGGATTTTTGTGTTTTTTATGTTCATAGAAATTATTAACCGATAATTAAGCGTTTAAAATAATTTTAGTAGTTTTTATTAAAGTTTGTCATCGAATAAGAACTGTTCATAAAAATTTAGCGCCAAAAGCGCTTTCTTTTTGGGTACCGTCCCATATTGGCCGACACCCCACCACCGAATTCACAGGTACAGGGATGATTTTGCGCGCCCTTAGACGAGTGATAAAAGCGTTAGTCAGCCCTCTAAGAAGTCAGTCTGAGTCGATCACCCGAGAAGCTCACTTGGTAAAAATTCTTTAAAATTTTCGCTCAAACTTTTAAAAGTGACAAGACAACTTTATTTTAAAACATGGATATTGATGAACAGTGTGAAGTTAAAGCTACCCACAATTTAAGGTAAATATATTTTTAACTGTGTTTCGTTTTTATGCTTTGTAATTTTTTCCATTTTTTTAACTGATAATATTTTTGTCTTGTTGCAGCAATGGTGTTGAATATGTTTCACTCTACGACACGAACTCTCGTGACTCTGGGTTTGAAGACGTTCCCATGGAAAACCTGGGAGACGAGGAGTTTTTGGAGGAATTTTCCGATATCACCTTCACCGAATCTGATAGCTTACCCGCCGATTTCAGCGACCTTATCCAGAGACCACTCGCTGCATCAGGATCTTCGGTTGAAGACAGCGAAGATACGGATAGTCCGTTGAAGAAAAGGCTGTGTCAAAGAACAAACGACGAATCAAAATTCACGATAAGGAAAAAGAAACTTTGGCTACGTAAATCCAGCAATGACGACGACCTGGTCCGGAAAACTCAAGAATTCGGAGTTTGTTCTTCGGAAGAAACCATTAGAAGTGCCATTCAGAAGATGTCATCTGAGATGGATTATATCGGTGACTTTAGCAGAGGCTTTTCGTTACCTTTGAGTGATTCGCGCCATCAAGACTTAAAAGCCATCAACTGTATCACGATGAGGAAGCTTATGACCGGCGAATATGACGACAAAATATCGTCTTTTAAAATAATAGATTGTCGCTATCCGTATGAGTACGATGGTGGACACATCAGTGGTGCTGTGAACATATACACCCACGAACAGTGCGATAAACTATTCGAAGAACAACGCTGCAGTGATAAAGCGAATATTTTAGTATTCCATTGTGAATTTTCTGCTGAAAGAGGACCAAACCTGTACAGATACTTGAGAAGAGAAGACAGAAGGAGGAACGCGAATATTTACCCCTATTTGTGCTATCCAGAAGTATACATCTTGGAAGGTGGCTACAGGAAGTTTTTTAACGACAATTCCAGTTTGTGCTGTCCAGAAAACTACGTCCAGATGTTGGATTCGAGGTTTTCAGAGGACTTGAGGTATTTCAGGCAGAAATGCAAGACTTTGGATTCCGACACTTTTTCTCTCCGAAAGAAAACCCTAAAAAGTATGCTTAATGTAAAAAAGCTTACTTTCTAATGTGATATAACTATTATTTTGTGATTGTAATTCTGTAAGATAGTGCAATTGTTGTATGAAAATGTGCAATGTAATGTAATATTTTTCGTGATTTTTGTATTTCATAGGCAGATATTTTCCTATTTATGTTTGTATAGAGCTTTAGGATAATTTAATATTTATTTTGTGTGATCAATGAAGAATGCTTTATTTTTATTTTGATTATTGTAAAACTATTTGAAATTATTAACAAATAAACTTTAAATATTTTAATGTTTTCTTTTTTTTTTAATTCATTAATTAGATGACATTAGCAATTAGTAGTATTTTATTAGTATATCATAGAGTAATAAAAAGGTATCTTCTGTTCAAGTTTTCTAAAACATCTATGTTCAGAACAGAAATTAGAACCAAAGGATCTAAAAAACGCACTTTTATAGACTTTTAAGTCAGTGGATTTTATATAAAACACAAAAATTATTTTCAGTTTGTTTTAGAAATAATATTTTCATGAATTTAGCTGTAACATTTTGCAACGAGATCCTCTAAACCACATAGATTTTAATTTAGTTTGGTATAATGCGTGCGAAAATTACACACGTGCTGACATCTACCGACGATAGACGGTAGATTAAAATATAAAACTTGATTTGAGAAATACTTCTTTAAATAAAATTAATATACATCACATTATAATCATATAAAAAGAGATAAGGATTTTATATATCCTTATGGCTTTGTCTATATTATTTATAAATTTGGTTAATTATTATAACTAAAGTATTAGCCTTTTTAATCAGAGACATCTATTGAAGAAGTCCAAACGATTTTATTTATTTTTCCTATTTCTATTTAAATAAAAAATAAAATATTTATATAGCTGTTTTTTACTGATGCTCAGTAAAATGAATTCTATATTTTTGATATATTATCCTCAGAGTAAGATATTATCATATGTTAATTTAAAAGATAGTTCGATAGTCTAAAAGAAAGCAGAAATCTTTTATAATTTGGTTAATAAATTTATTTATTATATAGTTTAAATATATGTAATTAGTGTTTAATGCAAAAAGCTTTGGACAGAAATCACAAATTAATAAAATATTTTTTTTATTTATTATAACTGTTGGATTAGGAATAAAAAATTTGATTTTGGTTTGGTGCCAAACTAAAATCAGCTGATTTTCATTTACCGCACTACTGCGACTCCCAATATCAGTATTTTCGTTTCAACTGCTCAGTTTACATTTGAAGATACCTATATATAAAAACAAGAATTGATAATGGGATCATCAAATGGTAATTTTTTATCTTTGTGATACTTTGACACCTTTATCAGAAAAATGTTTATCCCACCGTTCGATTCCAAATTGTTTATACATATCAATCAGACTGGCCAGTATTTGGAGCCGGCTAACTTATTCTTTATTATTTCGTAGTATTTACAATGGGAGGCAAATACTCTAAATTAGATCCTATGGAGGTTGACGTGCCTCAAATTAAAAGCCTTTTAGAAAGAGATCCATACTTGCAGCCTTACGAGAGGGAGATTCGCAGGCGGTGAGTTTTTTTTGCTATTTTTGTGAAGGTCAAGGAAGGGTATTAATCTTTGCTGTAAATTATTTTAACTTTCAAAGGTCGTCTCATATTGTTTATAATCAAACAAATATCTATCACTTAACAGACCATTTTCTGAAGTCTCTAGAACTCATTTTAATATTATATTATTTTCTCATGACTTCATAAACTTCATAAATTAGATAAAAAATACAAGGATTAACTTATCAAGTAACTATATTAATATTCTTTAATTAAACAGTTATGCTGTGTTTAAAGACTATATTGACACCATTGAAACAAATGGTGGTGGATTGGATAATTTTACACAGGCTTATAAGTTTTATGGTATGCATGTACAACCAGACAATTCAGTGATATGCAGGGAATGGGCACCAGGAGCTAGGGCACTATTCCTAGCAGGAGATTTCAGTAAGAAAATATTCCTATAATCCTGAATTAATATATTCTAGTTACAATTTTAATTTTAAAGATCAGTGGAATCGCGGTAGTCATCCCTATAATAAGCTAGAGTATGGCAAGTGGGAACTAACACTTCCAGCCAATGCGGATGGAAGCTGCCCAATAAAACATCTCTCAGAAGTTAAGGTATATTTCAAGAAAAATATTTGATTCTTGGTAGATTTTTTTCTATATTTTATTTTCAATTAGATTGTAGTGGAAACACACAATGGGTCTAAAGAAGACAGACTATCTCCTTATGCGCCTTATGTGGTTGAACCTCCTAAATCTGAGGGCACCATTTACAAACAATTATTTTACAATCCTCCAGCACATGAAGTAAGTTTATTATATCTGTTATAAATTTGGAGAAAATTTAATTTCTCTTTTTTAGACTTACACATTTAAAAGTAAAAGTCCTCCCAGACCTAAAAGTCTTAGAATATATGAGTGTCATGTTGGAATAGCTACACAAGAGCTCACTGTTGGAAGCTATGAGAATTTTACTCAAAACGTGTTACCACGTATAGTTAGACAAGGCTACAATTGCATCCAAGTGATGGCCATAATGGAGCATGCTTATTATGCTAGTTTTGGTTACCAAGTTACAAGTTTTTATGCAGCATCTAGCAGGTTACTTACTTAGCTCGTATTTTAGATAATTTCTAAACATTTGTTGTTACATATAGATATGGAACCCCTGATGGCTTGAAAGCTATGGTAGACAGAGCTCACGAATTAGGACTAACAGTTTTACTTGACATAGTTCATTCACATGCTTCTAAAAATGTCTTGGATGGCATAAACTTATTTGATGGTACTGAGTCCTGTTTCTTCCATGCTGGACCTAGAGGTACACACTCCCTTTGGGACTCTAGATTATTTAATTATTCCGAGTATGAGGTACTCAGGTTTCTTCTGTCCAACATCAGGTGGTGGATGGAGGAATATAAGTTTGATGGATTTAGATTTGATGGATGCACATCGATTTTGTACCATTCTAGAGGTATAACCATCGAGTCCATAGGAGTGAATATTGACCTGTTTAAATCGATATTTACAGGTATTGGCCAGGGTTTTAGTGGCCATTATGATGAGTATTTTGGATTGAATGTGGACACTGATGGCCTCGTCTATTTGATGCTATGTAACTATATGGTGCACAAGTTTAATCCAGAGGCCATAACGATTGCAGAGGATGTGTCTGGGATGCCAGGAACTTGTCGCCCTGTTGAAGAGGGCTGTGTAGGATTTGATTATAGACTTGCCATGGCGATTCCAGATAAATGGATTGAAGTTCTTAAAAAATATAAAGATGATGACTGGGATATGGGTAGGAAATCATTTTTATTTAGCGTTAAAATTATTTTACATAATATTTTTCCTATAATATAATTAATTTTTTTGTATTTATACTAATTTTTATTTTATGGCGAATGCGCTGGGATTAACTTAAATTTTATTTTTCCCAGCTAATATTGTTCACACGTTAACAAATAGACGTTGGATGGAAGCAAACGTGGCTTATGCAGAATCTCATGATCAGGCTTTGGTAGGGGATAAAACTATAGCATTCTGGCTTATGGATAAAGAAATGTATACCCATATGAGTACCGTGTCAGACCCGTCTCCTATCATCGACCGTGGAATAGCCCTACATAAATTAATTCGCTTCTTAACACACGCTCTAGGAGGAGAAGCTTGGCTTAATTTTATTGGTAACGAGTTTGGCCATCCAGAATGGCTAGATTTCCCAAGAGCGGGCAATAATAGTTCCTACCACTATGCCAGAAGGCAATGGAACTTGGTTGATGATGAATTATTAAAATATAAATACCTAAATAACTGGGATAGAGCAATGAATAACACAGAGAACAAGTAATATTTTGCGATGATTATAATAAATTTGTATTTTATTTAATATATTTTAAATATAGATATGGATGGCTGGCAGCCCATCCGGCTTATGTGAGCTGGAAGCACCAAGATGATAAAGTGATAGTTTTTGAAAGATCTGGCTGTCTATTTGTCTTTAATTTCCATCCAACAAAAAGCTTTGCGGATTATAAAGTTGGTATAGAGGGATCTGGTGAATATAAAATTGTCTTGAATTCCGATGAGAAAGAATTTGGAGGATTTGGTAGGATAGATAGTTCTATTTTAGCGCACGTTAACAGTGATGGATACAGTGGTAGAAGGCATTCACTTCAGGTTATTTTTGGATTCTTGTTTTTAGCCTGTGACGAAAATAACTTATTTATTTTTCAGGTTTATATACCGAGTCGTACCTGCATATGTTTAGCGAATGTAAACACTTTATAAATTATAATTTGTATACTTTTAGTAGTTAACATTCTTGATTGTTTAAAATTATGGCCTGTTCCAGGGCTCTTGTTGATATTTATGAAAATTTTTTTAATGTACTGAAATTATTTAATTACATATTATACTCTTTTGTTTACAAATTTATCGTTTTTTGTAAAATAATTTTTTAGCAATAAAACTATTTTTCATAAAAATATATTTGTGAATAAACATTTCTTTCCCATAGTAATAAATATTTGTTCAATATATATATGGAGATTTTAACATAGCAACTGAATTTTTTATAACTATGTATTTTATACATATATTTTAATATAAGGCATTATACCGTTTGATTTTATAATACCCATATTAAATTGACTATTAACTAAGGGAGATAGTAATTTTATACTGTAGAATAAAAGATCAACCAATTAACTACTATTTTTAGTTCAAAATATTACATGGCTTTTATTTAAAGCGCAATAAAACAAATTTATTAATTATTTAAGAATTTTTTGAGCGAGCGGTTTTAACGGTGAGTAGTTTCTTTGAACCAGCTAGTGGCGGTAGTTCGGATATACCTTCAGTTTTCCAAATCTGTGGTGATGATTTTGACAAGCAAATAGAAAAATGAAAAATGTCTTTTTAGGTTATAGACATTATAGATAGACGTGTCATATGTCAGATATGTATTTTGTTTGTAATATTTTGTTTAATAATAATTTATAAATATAATAGAAATATATTTTTGAAATGTTAGCATCCGCGTCACAAAATATGTCTAATACGAATTCTTATTCAAACGATAGAGGACTGGGTTTTGAAAATGAATATTCCAGTGATCTTGCATCTGGGGGTTTCTTCCACACGGATTTTAAAAAGTAATGTATACTTTTTATTTGAAAATAAGCATATTTAAAATATCGTTTTTAAGGCATGATGACCTTAAAGAAATGTTGGACTCCAATAAAGATAGTTTGAAACTTGAAGCAATGAAGCGAATAATTGGGGTAAAGAATAATCACTGTACTTCTGTTTTGTAACATTATATTTTTAGATGGTAGCAAAAGGTCGTGATGCTTCTGTTCTATTCCCAGCTGTCGTAAAAAACGTTGTCTCTAAAAATATAGAAGTGAAGAAATTAGTATATGTATATCTAGAGAGATATGCCGAAGAGCAACAAGACTTGGCCTTATTGTCTATATCAACATTTCAAAGAGCTTTAAAAGAACCAAATCAATTAATTAGGGCTGGTGCATTAAGAGTTTTATCTAGTATAAGAGTTAAAATGATATCACCAATTGTGATGCTGGTTATACAAGTTGCTTCCTCAGATATGTCATCTTATGTAAGGAAAACTGCTGCTCATGCTATACCAAAACTGTACAGGTAATCAGAATCTTTCTGTTTGAATCTCCCAAACTAAATACATATATTTTAGTTTAGATCCAGAGCTTAAATCGGAATTAGTAATCATAATTCAAAAATTACTGGCAGATAAGACTGTTTTAGTAATTGGTTCAGCAGTAATGGCCTTTACAGAAGTATGTCCAGAACGGGTAGATCTCATTCATGAAGTGTATAGGAAACTATGTGCCTTGATAGTAGATGTAGATGAATGGGGTCAAGTTACAATAGTCAATATGTTAATGAGATATGCTAGGTCTCAATTTGCTGATCCAAACCTTAATGTAAGCACACACCTTTATTTTATATAAAGTTTTGTGTTAATCATTTCTTATTAGGAGATAGGTGATGAAACAGACCGTCCTTTCTATGACTCAAATTCAGATATATCTGAAAAGACAGCACCAACTTTAGACCCTGATCACCGTTTGTTATTAAGATCAACCAGGCCACTGTTGCAATCAAGAAATGCTGCTGTAGTAATGTCTGTAGCCCAATTATATTACCATGCTGCCCCAAAAAGTGAATTTCATTTAGCTGCCAAAGCTCTTGTAAGGTTACTAAGGTCTCATGTGGAAGTCCAAAGCATTGTGCTGAATGCTATTGCCTCTATAAGTGCAAAAAACAAGGGGACATTTGGAACTTACTTAAAAAGTTTTTTTGTCAGGACATCCGATCCCACAAATGTTAAACTTTTAAAATTAGAAATATTAACCAACTTAACAACAGATGCAAATGTTTTGATAATATTAAGGGAACTGCAGACGTACATTTCAAATAATGACAAACATTTTGTTGCGGCAACTATACAAGCTATTGGAAGATGTGCCTGTTCTATTTCTGAGATTACTGATACGTGCCTTAATGGGTTAGTGTCTCTGTTGTCAAATAGAGATGGTATGGAAATCATAAATATTCTTCATACTGTAGAAGTAATTGTTTAATTAATTCCAGAGGCAGTTGTTGCAGAAAGTGTAGTAGTTATTAAGAGACTTTTACAAAATCAAGCTGCAGATCCCAAAGAAATTATAACACATATGGCGAGACTTCTTGACAGTATTACTGTGGCCCAAGCTAGGGCTGCTATTTTATGGCTTTTAGGTGAACATTCTCAAAAAGTACCTAAAATTGCTCCTGATGTCTTAAGAAAGCTAGCCAAAACATTTTCTGATGAGGTAAACATAAAAATTATTAGAGGTCTATTCTTGTTATTAGTCCAGTTAGTCCACACTTATTTTCAATTATGTGGTGCGCGTGGAACAAAATCCCCTAAAGCGGAATTTTTGTGGTTAGTTAACCATTGAGGTCCAGATTAATGTATTATTTCCCCGTTCGTACGACCGTGCAAACTACCTCAAAACCTCCCCTAAAAGTACAATTTTTAGTTTTTGATGAATGTCTCCCATACACCTGACTTTATTTAAAAATTGATAATTATCAAAATTATTGCTTATAAAATTACCTACAAAGTGGTATATATAAGTGCATAATTTGATTAAACCAGTGACCTACAGTGGAGGCTTAAAATACTTTAAATTTATTACATTGCTCAAATTCATGGTTTATATAGAAAATAATATTCTTAAGTTTATTTTTAAAACAATAAAACATTAAAGCGTTGCAAAATATTTAAACTAGTAAATAAAAGCCCTTTCCACTGGCGTGCAACAATTACTTAAGATGAGTGAGTTCCAAGTTTCAAAAACGATATATAAGCAGTGATTCTAAACGCTTCTAAAAGTGTATATTTTGGAGAGAAAAAAAAATAAAATTAACAAATCGAAAATGTATTATAATGTACACACAGGGTGTCTCAGAAATCAGGGCAAGTATAGGTGGCAGATCTGGTCAAAATAAACATCTTTTCTATATAATTAGCAACATTTAGCAAAAATTAAAAAAATGTACCATTAGGGGTGGTTTGCACAGTGGAAGGAATAGGGACTTTTAGTATATTAATCAGGACCACAATGTCTAACTAACTACAAAAATTTAGCTTTAGGAAGGAGATTTTGTTCCACCAGGCACCATAATTACCTTGGACTATATATAATAAGTTATAAATTTTTCCAGCATGATATTGTAAAATTACAAGTTATGAATCTGGCAGTAAAATTGTATATAACAAATCCTGATCAAACATCACTTTTATGTCAATATATTTTTAACTTGGCGCGATATGATCAAAACTATGATATAAGAGACAAGGCTAGGTTACTTAAACATTTTATTTCTGGACAAAATGGTAAACTGGCAAGCCAAGCATCAAGAATATTTCTATCTAGTAAACCAGCACCAATATTACAATCTCAATTTCAAGGTATACTCTGCAGATTTATTTTTTATAAGAATTAATACGTATTAAATTACCAGATAAAGAGGATTTACAACTGGGCTCACTTTCTCATTATATAAGACAAAGGGCGACAGGTTATGAACCACTGCCCGATTTTCCTCAAGTACCACCTTCTGGAGAAGTTAGAAACGTGGAGCCAATTATCAGGGAAGAGAGCTCTAAGCATTACAAAAATATGGTAAAAAAATACTTTTTATTGTTTCTTTTTCTGACTTAACTTAATTAGGAAAAGAAAGGCAAAGAAGTATTTCTATGGGAATCAGCGTCTGAGGCAAGTTCAGCTAGTGAAAACGAAAGTTCAAGTTCTAGTGAGTCTTCAAATGAAGATGATTCAGGAACAGAGCAAACTAGCAATGATGAAAGCTCTGGGGAAGAAAATTCAGAGAAGTAAATACATATTTACTAATTTTGGTGATTTTTCAATGTATTATCTTGTACAGGAAAACTGCAAATTCAGATTCCTCTTCTTCAAGTGAGGATTCAGACTCATCTAGTGAAGAGTCTAGTGATAATGAGGAATCTGTTGAAAATTCCCCTCCTTCAAATCATGTCTTTAATTTAAATAATACTGAGAAAACCCCAGATAAGACAGATGTAGTAGATAGGAAAAAAACAAATTTGGATTTACTGTTAGATTTCTCTGAAGGAGATATGTCAGTACCAGTGTTAACACCTTCATTAGGTAATGTTTTATTAATAACATAATATTCTTCAAGATTCAATGCTAAATTTTTGGACTTTAGGAGGTTTTTACACTCCTGCGACACCAGTAGAACCTTTAACAGTGCTTCAAGTTGTTCAGCCTACATATACCAATACAAAACCAAAGGAATTGCTAAATAAAATAAATGGTAGAGGCCTTTCAGCTACTTATCGCTTTACAAGGAATCCTCATTTATATTCTCCAAGTATGACTAACATAAATATCACATTTACTAATAATACCAGTGAAGAGGTGTCTGATATAAGATTGGGGAAAAAGGTATGTAGTGTAATGTGTGAATTTTTGTATATTTATTATTTGATTTTATTTTTAGAATTTAGCTGTAGGAATGAGTATGCATGACTTTGCTTGCATTCCTAATTTATCTCCAAATTGTACACTCCCTGCTACATTAGGGATTGACTTCAATGATACTACTCAGCCTGCAAATTTTGAAATTGTGTCTTCCTTAGGTAATGTAAATTAGGGATATTAAATGCTTGCTCACAGTTTTGTACGTTTGTTTTCTTATAGGTAACTTCTCAGTTTGCATTAAACCAAATGTAGGCGAGCTTCTTAGACCAGTTAAAATGCCAACTAGTTTATTTATGGAGAAACAATCAAAACTTTGTGGCATGAATGAACATACTGCTTTATTACCTGACTGTAAAAATATTATTGAACAAATTAGTGAACTTGCCAATTTAGGACCCTGTGATAATACGGTACAGGAGTATTACAGGTATATTAGAGAAAATGTCGTTTTTCTTAACACTAAAATTATTGTGTATTTGTAGGTTTGCAGGGCAGACACTGGCCTCATCAAGCCTGACTATGGTAACAATACACAAAGCAGAAAAAACGACATTAACAGTTAACTGTGAAAACATTGTTTTTGGATCTGTAATGCTCAATGAATTGTTACAAAACTTAAAGTCATAGAGACTCTTTCAAATTATTTGTGTTAATGTTACTTTGTTCAGAATGTATGTTTTTCCAAGTAAAATTTTACCACCACATTCCTTAAACTTGAAAATTTTGACATATATGCTTATAAATATCTAAATAAGTTGTATTTATTTTTGAGATAATTTAAAGTAAATAAATTTTGCTTAATATTGAGTTGGTATTATTACCTGGCGATTCCAGGTAAATGTATGAAAAAAAATGGAAGTTCTTAAAAAATATAAAAATGATGACTGCGATATGGGTAGGAAATATTTTATATTTAACGTTAAATTATTTAAATTTTTTTTCTTACATAAATTTAATGTTAATTTTTATTTTATGGCGAATGCGCTAGTATTATCTTAAATATTATTCTTTTCTAGATACTATTTATTTTGGAGATAAAGTAAATAAATTTTGCTTAATATTGAGTTGGTCTCTTGGTACCTTTTAAAGAAAATAGAATGAATTTAAGAGAAACTAATTTATTTTGAACACAAAAGTTTACATACTAAGAATCTGAAACTAAATAAAATACAAAAAGATACTTAATAGAGTTTAAATATCATTGGTTAATTTTTAATGTACATTAAAGTAAATATCACAAATAACTTGTAAACATCATGATGTATGTATATCTAAAATAAATAAATTGTCACAAATTATTCTCTAGCATAGTTAGCAACATATTCCATAACTTTTAATTTAAAATCTTCTTTCGAATGCCTAAACTGATCAGCTGCTTCAACATTTAAGGGATCTTCAAAGTTTAGTAAGTCCTATAAATAAATTAAACTGATATTAAATACTTATATAAAGATCTAAAACTTACTGTAAATAAGGCATGTAATCCCCACACCACATCATTAAGTCTACGTATTGGCGACCATCCCATACCATCTACACTATGTCTCCTTAATAGAGAGAGACATACTTCACCATTTTCTGATATATTCGGGTGCCATAACTTTGTTGAACATTTAACTATAGGTGGCTATATAAGTATTAACATTAATATGTTTATTTTTCATTAAAATTTAAAATACTCACGACCATATTATATTCTTCAGTCACATTAATATCAAACCTAAATGTTCCGCCTTCCCAATATCCTTCTGTAGGTTGGACAATTAATGTAAACTTACTTAAATCATTTTCGTTCGTGTAATGTATTGAACAAGATACTGGCAACAACTGGGACATTTCTTGTGCTTCTTTTACGAGTAATCTATCTCTAATTGGAGCCCTATTAGGAGTCGAGGTGTCTTCATTTTGATTTTTTCGTTTCAAACGTTGGGATAAAGTTATCATGGCTAGTTCTATTTTAATTAAATGTTATATACACTTTGGTATTGTTTATGAAACGAACAGAGAAGCCCTTAATATATCACATCACAAAATTTCCGAGACATTTATTAAAAAAGATCTATTTGTTTTGAATAATTACAATATTCATAGGTTAGATCGTTTTGACAACAGCTGATTTCCATAATAGAGATTTTAAAATAAAGCTTTCTATAGGAAATAAAACAATGGTTTAAGAATTTTATCTATCCTGTGATTTTATCTCTGTTATTTCTCACGAGAGGGGCCTAATTGTACAATGTAAAGATTTTGACGTTTAGAGGTTAGAATTTCATTATTTTGAAAATTTTTAAACTATTTTATTTATTTTCAAAGAAGATATTAAATGACCTGTATTAAATTTTCGTGGGAGGAAGCATTCTAAGTTTATTCTTATTTTTATAGCGAGTTTCTCTTTGTAAGTATCATTCTTACTCAATTTCATGTAACTATACTTTCTCTAACTTTCGAAATATATTTATTATAATTAATCAGAGCTGATTTCTTATTAATTAGACACGTGCTTTACGATGATTGTCTGTTTGCCATCAAGTATTTAACATTTTTGTCCTAGAACACTTGTTAATTTTTAGGAAATGGATATTTTTAAGCCAACTGCTGAGGAGTTGAGGATATGTATGAAGGATCCTTCCTGTATTAGAAATGTTTGCATACTGGCTCACGTGGATCATGGAAAGACTACAGTAGCTGATTTACTTTTAGCAACTAATCGACTAGTGAGTAAGCGTATGGCGGGTCAACTTAGGTATCTTGATGACCGGCCTGATGAGCAAGAAAGGGGTATTACAATGAAAAGCAGTGCTGTTTCATTATTAAATATAATACATGATGAGAACACAAAAGTCAGAAGAAAGATTCTTTTAAATTTGATTGATACACCTGGACATATTGATTTCTCTTCAGAAGTTGGAGCAGCAATAAGAGTTTGTGATGCTGCTTTAATTTTAGTTGATGTAGTAGAAGGTGTGTGTGTTCAAACTAGGGAATCTATTAGTAAGGCATTTGAAGAACATGCAAAAATGATCCTGGTTGTTAATAAATTGGACAGACTAATATTAGAGCTAGACAAAGACATTGACTTAATGTTTCAAAGTATTATCAAAGTTATTGAAGACTGTAATGTAATTATAGCAGAGCTATATCAGTATGAGTTTATGAGTAATGAAGTTGATATAGAAGACACTGGCCTGTTATTTAATCCTGACAAAGACAATGTTATTTTTGCCAGTGCTATAGATGGCTGGGCTTTCACAACTAGGCAGATATCAAAAATGTTTGTTGATATGATTAAGAACGAGACGGTAGACTCTCTGAATGTAAAAATGTGGAATTTTGACTGTTGGGTTGATTCAAAAGGAGAAATTAATCAAGGAGCTGTTGATAGACAGAAACCAAATCTCTTTATTCAACTCTGTTTAAAAACTATTGTCCATGTTTATCAGTCTATTATTGTTAGAATGGAAAAAGATAAAATTCCATCAATTTTGAAAAAACTGAAAATTGAAAATCCAACGAGAGAAATGACTACTTCTAATGACTCAAAGGCTCAAATTAAAGCAATTTTATCTGCATGGAAACCTTTAGCTTATACTGTTTTATCCCAATGTTTAAATATTATACCTGCACCATCTAATTTAGACAAATCAAAAATTGAATATTTATTAAATGCAAATCATTATATAGAAGATCCATTTTTGTATAAATGTGTCCAGGAAGTAGTACCATATTTTCAGGACATCTCTGTTACAGAAAACACTCCCACAATAGCTTATGTTTCAAAGATGTTTTGTGTAAACACAAAAAACTTATCTCAGAATGCTCCAAAACAGTTTGTGCCCAAACCAAGACCGTTAGGCCTTCCAATCCAACAGTTGGATAATTTATCTTTAACTGATAAACCTGAAGTAAATACAGAAAGTGAGGAAACAATAAAAGAACAATCCCTTGAAGATAAAATTAAAGAAGTATCAGGGGAGATAGCTGTCATAGCTCTGGCCAGAATATTTAGTGGTACCCTTAGAGTTGGACAGGAAATTTTTGCTATGTCACCTGGTTATATACCAAATGAAGATTTCTCTAATGAAGCGTGTTTTTTGTCCTCAAATAGATATATAAATAAGGTCCAGATTAAAGAGCTTTACATGCTTTTTGGACGAGAATTAGTTTTGGTTGACTCAGTGCCAGCTGGAAATTTTTGTGGCATAGGAGGAATTGAATCAAAAGTTCTAAGAACAGCTACTCTATCCACAACTTTGAAGTTAGTACCACTTGTTGAACATCCAACATCCAGTCCAGTGGTTAGATATGCAGTTGAACCAATTAATCCTAAAGAGCTTCCTATTTTGCGCCATGGTTTAAAACTTTTAATGCACAGCGATTCTTGTGTCCAAGTAATCATGCAGGAAACAGGAGAATTGGTAATTGTCACAGCTGGTGATGTGCATTTGGAGAAATGCATAGAAGATCTGAAAAATAAATTTGCCAAAATAGATATTCAAGTATCAAGCCCTATGGTTTCTCTCAGAGAAACAATTGACAATCCTTTAACAGAACTAAGCCAACCCATTGACTTTGAAAGCTCTAATATTTTTTTATCAATTCTAGCTGTAAGTTTGCCACAAGATATTGTGGATGTTATTAAAAACAATCACGAATTTTTAACAACAGTAGAACAACATCAACATAAAAGTCTTATAGATTTAATTAAAGGCTTTAATGAAAATGTCAACGACGAGAAAAAAGAATTAAAAGAAAAGATTTTTAAAAGTGAAGTAACTAATAGAGGAATAGTTCATGTTAAAGAGCAACTAAAATCGGCGTTTTTATCTTGTGGACCTGTATGGAAAAATATGGCTAACAAAATATGGAGCATTAGCATATTAAATGACTGTGTTAATTTACTCTTGAATGACACATCAGACTATATTCAAAACATATTTTTGGAAACGAATTTTTACGATAAAAGGACTTTATTAGCTCAGTGTATCATAAATCCTTTTCACAATTTTTGCAAAGCTGGATTAATATGTGAAGAACCTTTAATGAATTGTGCCTTTATAGTAAAAAAATTTAAACTAGTAAAAAACATAAATCCTCAAGAAATTAACCCACAAACAGTATCTTTGGAAGAATCATCTGTAAAAAGCTTCATGAAGACCTGCTTTGAAAAACATGAACAAAGGTTGATGGAGCCCATGTACACTACTGACATTCAAGTGAATACTAGCATATTGGGTAAGTTTTTTTTTTATTTGTATCCTTATGCTATAGGAGAATAAAAACACTGTATTTTTGACTTCTAAATATATTTATTCTTCGCTCATGAAAATATATACAAAAATAAAATCCTATATTACTTAGGCAAGTAGAGAACAAATAAATACCCTATATCCGATTTTGTTTTAAAAATTATGGGTATCCCGATAGTTTAGCCATATCTAAAAAAAATTGGAATTTTTAAACCAAATATTGGTTTTATATATTTTTCTGATTGTGATATTAAATTAAAATTTATACACAGATCTCAGACTAAAATATGAACCAATAAATATAATACGAGGGGGAGATTAAAAATAAAATATTCCTTCTACTATAACAATGTGCAGTAGTTTTATTGTTGTAGTAAGAGGTAGGTGGTTTTAAATATGGCCAAAGTAATAAATGAATGATAATTGAACTTAGGTACTACGACAGGGGCAGTACAACTTAAGGTGGCATATATTATTTTATTTAGCTTGACTGAATATTTATAAGAAAAATGCATTTATTCAGTCACTTTATGCACGGTAAATTGCACTGTCTTAAGAATTAATGAAACTATCAGCTATTATTATAATATTATTTTATAAAATACGCCTTAAATACTTTAACTGGATTATTTTGGTTTAGATAACCATTATTTTTGTCTCCGAATCACACGCGTTAATCTACGACGTTTCTAATCCCATTCTGCTATTTCTGCAAGTTCTTGAGCCTTTTTCCATGGGAAAGGAGGTATTTCTAAGCTTCTGGAATCCCGTAGAGGCCTTCCTCTACGTTTGTTATCCACGCACATCATTCCATAAACTCTTATACCGGGCACGCTAGCATAAGTGGGCTGATCGTGAGACATGGGGCCTTCTGGAAAAAGAAAATAAACTATTTTGACCCGCAAAACAATCTTTAATCTGTTTCTGTTTAATTTCGAATCTATTTAAACCATTCTTAAGGCTTTCCTCTTCTACTTTAATGGTGTTTTTGCGTATTGTACGTTTCGTACTCACCCAAGGCGCTGTTGTCAGGGCATCTGCAGATAACGAGATAGTGCGACTTGCCGGTTCTTATGTTTTGTAAAGCCAGAAGTGACCAGTCCCTCGGGGCTCTGCAGATACGCATTTCGCTGGTCGGTTCGCAAGTTTTCACCAGTGTGACAGCCTTCTAAAATAAAAACATAATGATCTTCACGTGGGACTTTTCTCGTTAATACTTTGTTTTCTCGCTTCTTCTGGAAATCAGGCGAGGCCGTAATTTGTTTTCGCTCTTTAATGGATGGCTATGCTTTAAATTTTTAATAGTTTTCGAGTCAATTGGGTGTAATAGGTTTTTTGCTATTGAAGATATTTTTATAAAAGGGAATTGATTTGGAATTAGTTCTATGACCAGTTCAGAGAAATTTAATTTCATAGTTTTAAACTAGGCGGAAATCAAGTTTTCTTTTTTGATAATCAGACAGCTCCTACAATTTTATGGTCTTATCCATAATATTATTAGATATTTGGGGGGTGTGATTTTGTAAAAACTCTTGTGTGTAATAACTAATGAAACGCAAAAAAACGCAAAGTTTTTTCTTCTATTAAAAAACGATAATGCAATTCTGATGTCATTATTATTCACATTATACTGCTCACAAAACCAAAGTGTAAGGTTAATACTTTTGAAACTTTAACACTTTGAACTGCCATTAATTTTCCCTTTAAAGTACAGTCTTTCCGTCTGTCCAATAAGTCAGGGAAGAATATCGTCAGATGACATTCATAAAAACTCTTATTCTGAGGTATTCTCTCGTTAGACAAACTTTATAGAAAGTCATAATCTATTTATCGACGAAGTCAGGATTTTGTCCGGAATTTCAAAAAACTTATATTGAAACCCTAGAGGTAAGTAATTAATTGATTTTAATGTATGATTTTTACGAATCGCAAAAAAAACGAGAACTGTAAATGACACCAGAAGAAAATTGTAATTTGAGAAAGTAAAATGTCATTTTCTTGATATCTAATTATTCAGATTTGAAACGTGTTAGTGTCCCAGATATTCAAAAGCTGCTGAATGTGGTTGTATTAAATCAGTCATGTGCGCAACCTAGTTTTCGATTCGGCATTAAGGCCGTTGCTTCTGAACGAATGAAGAGGAAATTTTGAAAACGGATAAACACTGCAATAATAATTAAAATTCTTATATAATGAAAATTATCTTCTCGGCCATCTGTCAAACACTTAAATTTGCATACATTCAGTTAACAGAACGTTGTAATAGTTACGTCTAATTAGAAAAAAGATTATTAATTCAACAAGATTTAACCGTTTTCTGCTGCGTTCGATGATTGCTGTTAATGAAAAAATATTGACGATTTTACGAAAAAGATCTGCCATGCCAACTTTGAAAAATATTTTTGCAAAGTTTGCACTTTTCTGTAAATTTCAAACTTACACTTCCTCTGTAAATTTACATTTGTCAATTTCTGATGACTCGAAGTCCAAACTGCCGTCAATCCTTTGAAGTTGTAACGAAGATAGACTAAAGAGCAATTTCTCAAAGATGACAAAACTATTGGTAAATTCTTCAGCTTTAAATGATATGTTCCCTTTTCAAACAAACAATGGCCATTTAATATTTCTATATCAAAAGGGAAAAGATAACTTCGAAAAAGTAGCTCTACTAAGAAAATTAAAAAATGCAAAAGTCTACCGAACTTTATATAAATTTCAAAATTTCGTCCCTTATAATATTAGAACGCTTATACCACATCATAGTAACCACCACTTCCGTATAGATAACTGAAAATTAATTTTACATTTATAGTAACCTGTGAATTTACAGAAAAAGTGAAAATTTTGCTGAAAATAATTTACAATATGTAGCCCTACGCTTTCGTATGATTTCGATATTGCACGATTTTTTTTATACAGAGCGCCTAAAACAATGACCAATACTGTTATGCGTTTACAGTTACCATTTTCTATCAACCAATAACCTTTATTACCTTTGATCTTTTGTTAATAGATAATTCTGTTGTATGTAGATCGTCGGAATTGAGAGATGCGGAACAGGGGTCTCTGTATCTTGATGGACAGGCGCATAGTGGCTGGGTCCAGTTAAGTCTCACGTACACGGCGTTGCATACCTGCGGGCAAATTTATTGCACATCTTCTTATTATTTTATTAAACCATTTTGCTTACCTGCTGTATGGCACATTCAGGTAGCAGATAGATGTGCTGGTTGTGCGGGTAGTAATGATATTTGGTCGGTTTAACTAGAGCTGCACTAGCACCAGCGGGCAATGGCAATAGATTCTGAAAATAAATATTTTTTTCTAGTTTATTTATTCATAGTTGTCACTTAGACGATTAAATCTGTTTTTATATACAGTATAACTTCAGTAGTCCGGGTAGATATTGTTCTGGCATACAGTACATCTACTTGATCTGTGTCTATGAAAGGAATGCGGACAAAAAACATTTAAATAAACAGCAATATATTTTATACGTCGATTTGACGACTGCGTCACCGCAAATCGCTCCGCCCACTCATTTTATTGGCTACTTGCAAATTTGGTGATTTTTTATTGATGGGACGCGTCGTCTATTTTTTTACGAAAAACATCGAGAGAATATCGTTTCCCCTCTCGCGGATTCCCCGTAGCTACAGAACGGACGGACGTACTGTACACTCAGAATACTGGAGCCAATGTTTTTATATGTTTATATATTCTAATAATTACTATTTTTTAAGATCTTTGAAAACAGGTCAAAAATGCAAAAAGTTGCCAATTTTTCAACTTTTTTCCACGCATAATTTGAAGTTAAAAAAAAGAAGTTCTGTTCAATTTGACGCAATAAATTCGGAAAATATTATCAAGAAATGATGTTTTTTAACTATAAACTATTCCAATTTCCAAATTTTTTTCAAAAAATTCCAAATTTTCAAAAGAAACTTTTTGCGAGAAAAAACAACCATAATCGTGTTTCTGGGGTCGAAATATACTACTTCTAAAAATATTTGCACTTATGACTCACCCTGTATATATAGCTTAAATGGCAAATGTTTGTGTGTTAAAAATGACTTTCTTGTACCTAACTAGGAATTTATTGTGAGACAGTGGCAGTGTTTCCTTTAACGGTAAACGGTAAAAAAGAGAATTTATTGTAATGGTGTTTCGATTCAAATGTAATTATAAGGAAATTGAAAGCAAAAGGAAACAATCGCGAGCTATCGCTTATTTAAATTCCTCAGAACAAAACGGTGTGTATTCGGTAGCTTCGGCTTGATTCTGTTTTGCATAATTAAGTCTAATTATTGTTCATCGTTGATAGCTGTGTAATTCCACGGCACCGATCGCCACCGAACAAAATACAGTAGCGTCCTTATTTAACAATGGGTTCTTCATCAGGAAGCTCGGGTTTCAACTTCCCAACTAATAATTTCCTAACTGTACGTGGAATTTTTAATAACAAAGCAGTAGTTTTCCTATGGAACCTATTAAAGTGGAAACAAAATAGTATTTCACGATTTTTTCGTTTGCTTTCTGCCGAGCGGACTTCCCACGAATCCTGATATGGCTAAGTTGGCCATCGCACTGCTCATTTACAATAGCGCATTTCGAATTTTAGACGGTAATGTAACTAATCAATTAATAATAGCGCATCTTAGACCGTATATAGGGTTCAGTTGCATTACACTCTTTCCGGTACATTGCAAGCGGCGCTAAAATTTATAGCCTCCATAATTTCGGATATTTTCTTCAAATAGCTACTCGAACATAATTGGTTTGGAGGAATTTTCGGTACATACAGGGTTGGGTGTTCACCACGTACGACACGGAGTATTGTAGCTAAACGATTGGATTTTTACAAATGTATGTTTGGGTTCGTAGAAGGACTATTAGAGCTACAATTTAAAAATAATTTTACAAGATACAGAGTGTCCCAAATAAGTAAAAAATATTATAGTTGTATTTTTTTAAATGGAACAACCTGTATATTATTGCATTTTTAGATTCTACGATTGAAATAAAGGTAAATTTGATTAAGGTTTATCACACTTAAACCTTACCCTACTTAATCGTCTTTGAAATATTTTCAATTTTGTGAAAGTGCAGTAAAAAATTCAATTAAAATCAAAAAATCAAAAAGCTTCATTTCTCCAAGGGTATCAAAGGTTTTAATACTAAATATTTACTGAAGATTATTTATTGATAAGATATTGTGTTGCAATAATAAAAATTATACTACCTTATATAGAGTGTCGAAAAATTTATATTAAATAATTAATAGCTTTAAACGGCAATAACTTGTTTAATTTAAATGGAACACCCTGTATATTTTACTTGAATCAGATGCACAATTTAATTGTCTATTAAATTGTATTATACTATTTCTACCTAACTCTTCAAGTTTTCACAGAAAATGCATTTTCTTATAATTTAGACCTCATTTTATTTTAAGTCTACGGTAAAAATCTAATCGTTTAGCTCCAATACTCCGTGTCGTATGTGGTGAACAACCCTGTATATGACTTAAAATTTAGAACCTACTAAACATTTATTAATTTTAATAGATCCTTTAGCGTTAATAGTTTTATTCATGACTTTTGTCGATTTTGTGGTTTTAAACCATTTATATCCTAAATTAGGTATGTTCTTACTTTCACATTAACTCTTTTTCTAAGAGCTCTAAAACATGTAAAAAGATGGTCCAAGTGATGAAGATTGTTGATTTCCGTCTTGTTAAGTTTTTATTTCGACTATATGTTTACTATGTTTCTAAGGCCTTTAAAAATAGCAAAAATGGGCATTTTTTCAACTTTTTTTACCACCGATTTTATTAAAACTGCTGTTGTTTACTAAGAGGTGTAGAATAAGAAAGTATAGGCCATTCTGCTCTTATGAACACAACTATGGGCGTAGGGGATGTTTTAAACTTCATCAAAATTGGCCGAAAAACGAAAGTGCAAAACCATTAATTTTCTCAAAAACACAAAGTATGTAAGTCTTCATCGGTGTATATATTTTGTATCTGTATAAAATTTTCTACAAATTCTGAGCTTTTCATAATTTTATGATTAAATTTACTGTTTTCTAAGGCCTTTGAAAATGTGTAAAAAATAGTCACATGTTTAAAAATAGTTCAGAAGCAATTATTTCTTCTACAAAAATAAGTCACTGAAGCTCTTAAACATTTATACATATATATTCTAATAGTATGTATATACAATTTCCTACAAATTCTGATATTTTCTATATTTTATGCCCACGTTTACTATTTTTTTTATTTTTAAAATATTAAAAGATGGAAAAGATTTATGAGCTTCTCGGACGTGTAATTTTCAAGTAACCTTTACATCTCTGGTTGATCGCAAAAGAAAATTCAATTAGAGACATTCCCATGAAAGTACTTACCGATTTCACGAACTAGGGTAGTGTGTTCGAGAGTTCAAGCCTAATAATGCTACTTCCTGTTCACTATGTTCAAATAACGGGGAAAATTTAAGATTGATGAGCCGGGATATTCAGGCTTTGCGCCTTTTCTTAATTGCATAGATATTGATTAGTCTCTTTAAATTAGCCGAGCTCAAGAACGAAATGCGGTTCTTTGTTTAAAGATACTTTCTGCCATTACCAGTTTTTAAAGTAGCATTTATATAATATCTAGAGAATAAGGTAAAGTTATTTTTTTGTAATTTTTTGTAATTCATCAGATAACAGCGCTTTCAGATGGAGCGGACCGTCCGCGTGTTTTTATATTAATGTGTTTATGTATATGGCCGTCATCCGGACGGAGCATACGCGACCCATGTGAAATTGTTCATATAAACCCATGGAACTTGCTCGAAGTCGCGAACGGTCCACGCGGACCCTCCGCTCCGTCTGAAAGCGCTGTCAGTGTTAATAAAATAATGTAATAATCTGTGTATTTAAAATGTTTTTTTTTCTTTTTCATTTTAAGGTAAAATGAAAGTCGTTCTTAACAGCGCTTTCAGATGGAGCGGACCGTCCGCGACCAAGCGTCCGCGCCCTCGAGCAAGTACCATGAGTTTATATGAACAATTTCATATATGTATATGCTCCGTCCGACGGCTATCTTGAAAAAACACGACGGACGGTCCGTCGCGGACGCTCCATCCATCAATTTCTGTTAATGTGTTAAAATATAATTTATACGTAAAACAATGCTTTTTTACTAAATAATAAAATTTTGAAAATGATATATAAATATCATGATATTTTCGAACTCTGCTTTTGAGACTGTATGTATATAGAAAATAACTCGTATTTTATTTATCTGAAATTATTTTAATACATAGTAGTCTTCATAGAAAAAAATGCTTGTTCTAAAGGACAACAGAAACAAAGGATTGTCTTTTCTCGTTGTACCTTGCATATTTTTCTTGCCTATCTCTTGGCTTCTGCGGTGGTATAATTATTCTACTCATTTACAAGCGTTGCTGTAGACCGAGGAGGAGTCGTCTTGTACCTTTTGTTCTCAAATACTTTATACTTATCTCGATTTTTGGTTTTGTTTTCTTTGTTTTTTTTTCCTAGAGATATAAATCCATCGTCGATATTTCATGGGGAATCAGAGTATTGCTTAAATTGCTAAGAGTAATTATACTGTTTAATGAGTATGCTGTCGCATGCCATTCTATAGGCTTATTTAAATCGTATCATTATAATAATTAAAATGAGATTACGTTGTTAGACAAATCACTTGTCAAGAGTTTCCAAAAACTGTATAGAAACCCTAATTGTTGCAAATTATAAGGGACTTCATACCTTTCTAGATTAAAATATGTTATTTTGCTACTATTTTCCATTGGATTTTTATTCTATAGTATCTACATAAGCTAAACGTGCGTGACGTATTTTCTGTATAATTTTTTTTTGCGAATTTTTCCGATAATTTAATAATTGTTTTGCTATTTGGGGCGGGTACGCATCCATTATGTTTCTGCGATGGAAGACTCAGAAATACAGATATATTTTATTATTTATGGTATCGACACTTATTTGCACGTAAAAGGCAGTATGCTAACGCATTTATCTAAATTCCTGCTTTGCATTTTATCGAAATTTTCTATTTGCGAACAATTTAAATGTTAATCTTGACGTGTATTAGATTCCGGAATATCGTTTAACTGTAAATATCGCCCATAAGAGCTATAGGGAAATCTGAGCGTATGCGTCTAATGTCATTCGAGGTAATTTTTCCGTTTATATAACTGGGATCAAAAATCGTACAGTACGAATATCGTCTTGAATAGTTTAAAGTACGGTTGGCGATGAAGGGTCAAGAGT